AAAAAAAAAAAAAAAGAAAAAAAAGAAAAAGAAAAGAAAAGCTTCAAATGGAGTGCAAAGCTAATAAAACATAAGATTATTTTTACTGTAGAGAAATGATACCATTGTAATATGTGGAAAAGACTTGCATCACCATTCCACTTTAAGAAATTCAAGCAAAAGTTTTTATTTTTCATCAGAGAGTCATGGGAAAAAAGCACTTATTTTATACATGTGATGAATGTGGGGAAAATTCTTTAGTTGGCATGCTGTCCTGAGTCAGTTTCAGATAACAGCCACAGGAACAAGGCCTTAAAAATGCACTGTTTCCAAAAGGCATTTTCTTGCAGTACTTCTCTTATTGTACAAGGCAGCATTCATACATATTCAATGAATGTAGGAAAATCTTTTGACAGATGTCTCACCTTTTCTCTTCTCTCTCTCCTCATTTCATTTTCTTTCTCACTCCTTTCTCCCTCTCCCTGACCCCATCCTCTGTTCTTCTCCCCCTACCTCTTTTCCTCACTCAATCCGAACTCATAATGGGAAGAAACCTTATAAATTCAGTAATTATAAGAACACCTTTAGTCAGTACATGTCTTACTTAACCTCAGTGAGTATGGGAAATCTTTCAACCAATATACATGGTTTGTATGGCTTATTCAGCATACAATATACTTCATACTGGAGAAAAAATAAAGTGTAATGAATTTGGGAAGGCCAATTATTTCTGACACCTTATCAAACATCAAATCACTGACAGGAAAGGCTGTGTAAATGTGAATGGGAGGAGGTCTTTAAGCATAATGCATCACTTGCTCAGCGTTAGTGAACACATATAGGAGAAAAGCTTTATTTATCTAATTTGCATGGGGAATCTTTTGCTCGTTTCATCTCTTTTTCAACATCAAAGAATAGATATGACAGAGAAACCTATGAATATACAAAATTTGGAAGGATCTTCACTCAAAGCTCACTTCTTTCACAGCATCAGAAAATCCTAATAGAAAAATCCTGGAAGCAGTTTTGCTTTCATAAGGCATACAAATTTCTTCATAACTGATAATACAGACTTCTGGTTTCCAATCCATCATGTGAGGACTTGAAAGTCATCGCTCCTATCCTCACAACAAGAAAAAAGCTGAATAAACTAAGAATCAATAACTCTTCTTAGATCTATCAGAGACTTGAAATTACAGTGCAAACCACTGACCTGAAAACTGGAAAGACAGACAGGTGGTTACAGAGAGTCACAACATAGCAAGAGCAGAAACCAAGGCTGCAACTAGCAACTGGTAGGAATACTCAAAAGGTAATTGACTAACTGCTGGAGACTGCTCATGGTCTAAACTGAGAGAGAAAAACTATTGAGGGTATAAGGGGCCCGTATACTTCCATGAGTTTTAACTCCGGGAACCCCACCATGTTTTCACTGTAAAGACCTGA